GCTTTGTTCATATAGAACAATATTTGTCATGAATAATCCTCTGATTCCTCTTTAAGTATTAAGCAAATGAAGTTGTAAGCCAAATCCAGCAGAAAAAAAATTGTCAGCAGAGAGTGATATAAAGTCAAATTTTAAAATAGTGGATTTTGATTAAAACCAACTTTTAAACAGATTTATTTGACAGTGGGTTTGTATGTATTAACACAAAGACAGAATGATATTAGGAAGTACATTCTAGGGTTTGGTACCCTAATTTTCTCTATTAGTTAACTGCTTTAAAGGAGACAAATTCTGAAATCCTATAAAATTAATATTTTCAGTCTGAGAAACATTAATCTTGGAAAAATGAGCAAAAAATAGCTTTTAAAGGTTAGGAGTAGGAATGCCTGGCAATAATGGGAAACATTCCCAGCTGATTTTGGAAAAATCAATAAACATTTATTTAATGACATAAAGACTGCTTTATAACCACCCACTTCATCTTTTTTTTTTTGATAGAAATAAACCAAAAAATAAAACTAATAGTAATTAGAATTAAAAAATGTTTAACTAGTTCCTCCATTTTCCTTCAACCACTAGCATGCAGAAGCCATTTTATTTTTTAAAAGATTCATTTATTTGGGGGGGCAGGGGGGAGAGGAAAGGTTTTTGTTTTTTAAAGATTTTATTTGAGAGATAGAGAGCAGAGCAAGAGAGTGCATGGGGGTGGGGAGGGCAGAGGGAGTGGGAGAAGCAAGCTCCCAGGTAAGCCTAGAGCCTGGGGTGGGGATCCATGCCAGGCCCCTGGGTTCATAACCTATTGAAGGCAGACACTTAAGCGACTGAGCCACCCAGGCACCCTGGAAGGAGAGTCTTAATCAGACTCCCCACGGAGTCCCATGCAGGGCTGATCTCACCACCCTGACATCAGGACCTGTGCCAAAACCAAAGTCAGATACTCAACCAACTGTGCCACCCCCAAGCTCCTTGTAAAAACCTTTTCAAAAGAGTAAAATGAAAATGTTATCTTCCCAAAGCTGAGGACTGAAATTCTTTTGCATTGAAAGCTGAGAGAAATGTTAAGACCCGCTATTTTACTCAAAGATTAAACTACCTAGAGCAAGCTTCCTGTTAGAGGACTCAAAAGTAAAAAAGAGCTGGCTAAGCTTCCGACTCTTGGTTTCAGCTCAGGTCATGATCTCAGGGTCATGAGTTCCAGCCCAAGTCAGGCTCCCCACTCACGCAGAGTCGCTGAGATTCTCTCTCCTTCTCTCTGATCCTCCTGCTTGTTCTCTCTCTCTTTCAAATAAATACATCTTTAAAAAAAAAAAATGAAAAAGCATAGGGAACATACAAAAAATAGATATAAAATGTTCTAAAATAAACTGCACTCTCCATCAGAAAAAATTATCACAACTCACTAACAAAATACAATTCAAATCTACATTTTTAAACTATGAATAGAAATGCAAAATATGTACTGCCTTCAGTGAAATAGTATAGAATGTTTTCTACTGACTACTTTTAAGAGTTGGTAGTTATAGGCATGAATGGAAAACATGTGAAACTGCGAACTGAAATTTTTAAAGGAAACTAAAAGACACGGGTAATGAACACCTGAAAAGTTGAGTATTTAAAATATGGAGAGACCCTGTCCTATATGATTTTGCTCTCAATTTTGATCATTTAAAACAACTTATTGATAGAGGGACAAATAGAGAAAACTTTGAATAATAAGTATGTAAGAATGTAAAAAAATCCCACTCAAAAAACATTAAGCAATTTTTTTTAAGTTCAACAATTCCAATCAATAATGACAGTGTTAAAAAGTGAAGTGTTCTTTCAATAAATAACTTTACCATAAAATAGCAGTTCCCACTGATTAGGCAACATTCTTAAAGATAATACTAATTCAAAATAGGTTACATCTAAATCTGTTAATTTACACAAAAAGAAACTTCCTAGAAATGTTTGGAAAGCAAATTCACTTTGCTCTTAGGTGGTAACATTTTTAAAAATTTTGCACAAATTAATGCCATTTTCCTTTACTACAGTTTCTTGATTTGCCTCAATAAATCCATCTTACTTTTCAGCTTTGAAATAAATCTAACGTGTAGCAATATTTAGAGTAATACAGACATGTTTGAAAATGTCTTACTAAACTGTAAAAGGAGAAGTAAGCCACTCTATCTTACTTTGATAAAGTACACTTTCCGTTACCACACAGAACAGCATTTTTTGGTTGATGTAATTCTTAGGCACATTTTTTCATTTGGCAAAGAGGGTGGACAAGGCATTATTCACTTTAATAAAATGAAAATAATAAATTGTAGCTAAGCAAATTCTGCTACAAAAGGTAGCTATGGAGTAGACTCCAGCCTCTGCACAGGAGACATCCATTTCATGTTACTTCAAAAATCCTTTTTTTTTTTTTTTTTTAAAGCATATACGTTTGCTGAAATGCTCAAGCTGAGAAACTGCTGGGTTTTTTGTCGGCAGTGAATTCTTCCTAAAGTAATACAATTAACATAAGGTGCTAAGTCCTAGGAAGACAAGCACATATCACTCTATGCTCTCATTATGGAGGCTCAATTCAAGTTGCTTACTCTGTACTTGCTCCGCAGGCATAACACACGGTGTACTATAAATAAACACTCATAAAATTTTACATGTCAGTTTATACCTATTGAAGTTTACCACAAGTATATGGTCACTTGGATTTTCAGAATTACTTTGCCATTAAACAGAATCACGCTTCTCTCATAAAAAAATGCAGCAATGTTTACTGTAAATGTCAATAACGAAATATTGCACTTCAAGCAGAAGCACAACAAATGAAAACATTACACTTTGCCTATTACTTAAAAAAAAAAAATTGAGCTAAGAAAAGAATCTAGGATGGGGGACTGGTGGCTACTATGAATTTTCATACTTGAGTAATTCATCCTCCAAAGGCAGGCTGTTACAAACCACCAAAGAGGAAAAGCTTTTCCCTAATTAAAACAAAAAAAAACAAAACAAAAAAACAAAAAACAAAAAAAAAGGGCAGCGCGGGGGTGGGGGTGGGGGTGGGCTCAGCGCTTTGGCGCCGCCTTCGGCCCAGGGTGTGACCCCGGGGTCCTGGGATCGAGTCCCACGTCGGGCTCCCTGCAGGGAGCCTGCTTCTCCCTCTGCCTGTGTCTCTGCCTCTCTCTCTCTCTCTCTCATGAATAAATGAAAAAATAATAATAGTAAAACCTAATTGAAGTGTCCCTTAAAATGGTTCTAGGATAAAGAGGTTGAAGATGATGGCATAAAGGCCAAGGGGCAAATCCTAATGATTAACAAGAAAGATTTGCGAGAGGGATCCAGTTTGCGTTCTTGGCCAGACCCCTTACAGAACCTCCTGACCTTGAGCAAGTTTCTGGGCCCCTTTCAGCCTCCTTTTCTTCACCTGCAAAGTTGGTCACTGTTCTGAATATGAGAAAGCAAAGGAGATCCCGAGGCACTTGGGGCTCGGGAAGGTGGTACCGATCATTACTGTCAAGATGAACTTGTGGCAGGCAGGAGGCTCACTGGAGACCTTGCAAAAACTACGGTCCTCGCCTCACAACCCACTCTCCCTGCAGGTGGTGTTGCTCTGCTACTTTTCTGCTACTCACTTTTAGCGTCAAGCATTCTGAAGAAGAACGGAGAAGAAAAAGCGGGGGGATTGGGGGTGTTGGGGGTGTCGGTGGGTGTTGGGGTGGAGGTGTTAGGGGGTGGTGTTGGGGGTAGGGGTGTTGGGAGGTGGTGTTGGGGTGGGAGTGTTGGGGGTGGTGTTGGTGGGGGGTGGGGATGATATTGGGGGGGTGTTGGGGGGGTGGGAGTGTTGGGGGTGTTGGTGGGGATGTTGGGGGCGGGAGTGTTGGGGGTGTTGGTGGGGACGTTGGGGGTGGGAGTGTTGGGGGTGTTGGTGGGGATGTTGGGGGGTGGAGTGTTGGGGGTGGGAGTGTTGGTGGTGGTGGGAGTGGGGTGTTGGTGTTGGGGGGTGGCGTTGGGGGTGCTGTTGGTGTTGGTGGGGGGGTGTTGGTGGTGGTGTTGGGGGGGTGTTGTTGGGGTTGGCGGGGGGGGGGGTTGGGGGTGTGGGTGGTGTTGGGGGTGTTGTTGGTGGCTAAAAGCCGCCTTTCAGGGGCGCAGGACCGCGGCGCGCCCCGGCTTGCTGGCGGGCTGGGGGCCGCTTCCCCGCGGGACACAATCACCTCGGGCAGCGGCAAGCCGAGCCCCCGCACGGCCCTGGGCATCGGGGGCATCGGAGCCCCCGGGTCACTGGCCCGACGGGCCGGGGCAAGCGCACGCTCCCGACCCGACAGCGCGTCTCCGGGGCCACCGCGTCGGGCAGCAGCGTTTCCCCCCCGCGGCGGAGCCTCCGCCCTGCGCTAGTCCCCGCGGCGGCTGGGGCAGGCGTCCTTCCGAGGCTCGCGAGAAGCGCCAAACCCCCGGCCCGGAGCCAGGCCCCGGCCGCGGCACCTACGGAGGCGGCGGGATTCGAACGCGGGTGTCGCGGGCTTCCGGGCCCGCCGGGCTGCTCCGGTCCCGGGAGGCGGAGGCGGAGGCGCAGGCCCAGCCCCCCCCCCCCCCCGCCCGCCCGCAGGCCGGGCCCGCGCGGACCGACGGCCTCGGGGCTCCCCCGCCACACGCTGCGGGCCGCGCCCAGGTCTCCGGGCTGCGCGCAGGCCCACGACCGGGCCTCCGACCACGGAAGCTCGTCCCGCCCCGCCGCCCGCCGCCGCGGCCGCCGCGACCGCCCAGACGGCGAACCGGCCCGCCGCCGCCCGCCGCCGCCCGCCCCGAGCCCGTGAGCCGCACTTACTCGAGCCGAGCGATTTCCCAGACGCGGGGCCGGCGCCGGCAACGGGAAGGGCTCCTCTACGCGGCAGCCCGGGCGCCGGCGGTGACGACATCGGGGCCGCGCCGCCGCCCGCGAAGGCCCCCGCGCACGGCCGGCGGCGCCTGCGTGACGCGTCACGGGCGGGGCTGCGCGTGCCGGCCCGAGCCTCGGAACATGTCGCGAGCGGGGTTCCGAGCCGAGCGGACGGACGCGGGCGCCTCGGTGCCCCAGGGGCTGTTGAAGGCCGCGAGGAGGAGCGGACAGTTGAACCTGTCGGGCCGGGGTCTCCGCGAAGGTGAGGCGCCGAGGTGGGGCGGCGGGGGGCGGCCGGGCCCTCCCCTCCCCCTCCCCCTCCTCCCCCAGCCCTTGACCCCCCGCGGCCCCGGGGCTCCCGCGCACGCGCACTGCGCTGCTCCCACCGGCCCCACGGCGAGCGGCGGCTTTTTTTTTTTTTTTAAAACACTGTGTCACGTGTAGAGTAGACCGGGCAGGTGAAAGGGGCCGTGATGGTGATGGAGGCTCTCTGCTCTGCCTGCAGAAGCCTCTGGTCCCTGGAAACGTAAGTGTCTTACGAGCACGGACGCCGACGCGCGTCGGGTCTCCCAGACACACGGTTTCCCGCGGGACCCGCCCGTGCGGTTGCGGGTTTTTTTTTTTTTTTTTTTGATCTGTTTGATTTCGTACGTATCACCACCCGAATGTACGTGTTTGTGTACTGTCCCCCCTGCCCTCGCGCTACCATGTTAGTTTCGGGAGGCAGGGAGCTTTGTTTCATTCATTGTTGTATCACGAACACTCCCCCTCTCCCCCCTCCCCCCCCAAAAAATGTGTGTGCGGTTCATAACAGGCTCTTATTAAATGTTGGTGGAGGGAATAAGTGAAGGGATGTTGAATTTTTTCCAAGTAGTAAGTGATGCGCCGGGTGTGGAGGCCGGGAAAATCAAGGCCATCCCACCTTTAAGGTCAGCGTTAGCACAAGCAGAGCCGTCTCAGGCCCCTGTGAATGGGGGCTGCCCTCTACCTTACTGCGGTTAAGCCCCGTATTAGAATGAGAACAAAGCTCAGGATGCCCTCGGCAGGGAATCCCAATACCAGAAAGACAACAGAGCTCAGGGAATCCCATATTAGATCTTAAGAAACTCCCACACCCTTTCCCCCCCCCCCCCATATTGGAATGGGGAAAAAAAAAAAAATTCCTCCGCCGCTTCTGAAAATCCCCTAGACCAGCCCATAAAACACCCAGCTGTAACCCACTTCGGGGTCCCAGCCCCTGCTCTGCTGTGTCGGGTGCACTTGGACCCAAGCTCGAGCTTGTAAATAAACCCTCGTGTGTTTGCCTCGGTGTCGGCTCCTTGGTGGTTTCTCGGATTCGCAGTCTCGGGCACAACACCGGAATGTACTTTTGAATTGGCCTCGGGTGGTTTTGTCTTTTGAAAGTCCAAAGGAGCAGATGAAGTGGGTGTGCGTCGCATTTCTGTGTGGGGGGGGAGGGGGATAGAAGCAGGAGCAGCACATGGCATTTGTCGCTTACATGTCAAAAAGAAACCCTTGTTGCGTAAGGTACAAGGTGTTTACCTAGTTGTGGCCTTCGACATCTGTCATTCAGCCTTGGACGCCCAGCCAGGGTAAAGCGGGGCTCTACGTAGGGCCTCTTGGGGGCCGTGCTCCTTATCTACCTGCCTTTGCTCATATAACTTTATTTATTTTTAAAGATTTTATTTATTTATTCATGAGAGACACACAGAGACAGAGACACCGGCAGAGGGAGAAGCAGGCTCCATGCAGGGAGCCCGACGTGGGACTGGATCCCGGATCTCTAAGATCAGGCCCCGGGCGGAAGGCAGGCGCTCCACCGCAGAGCCACCTGGGCTGCCCTCCTGTAACTTTATTCATTTAAATATTTATTCATGACAGACAGACAGACACACACACACACACACAGAGGCAGAGACACAGGCAGAGGGAGAAGCAGGCTCCATGCAGGGAGCCCGACATTGGACTCGATCCCGGGACCCCAGGATCACATCCCAGGCCAAAGGCGGTGCCAAACCGTTGGGCCATTGGGGGCTGCCCCCTCCTGTAACTTTAAAATGCATAATCTCATTGTACCTTATTTTCTCATTTATAATGTAGTGATGATCGGACCCGCTCAAATTTAAATGAGATAATACATACAAAGTACTTGGCATGTGAAAACTACACCATAAAAACTGTCATTATTTTTATTGCTGGCACTGTTGCCCTTTAACAGGCTTCCTAAATGCTTCCCTGGGTTTCTTTAAATCTCACACTCTGCATCAGTGTCATCATCAAGAGTTTTCTTTTTTGAAACCTGGATCTTATTATGTCACTCACAGTATTTAAGGACTCCCCATACATCACAAGATTCACTATAAAGTTCTTGGGACAAACATACAAAAACCTTTTGAAATGTTGCCCCATAAGTATTTATAAGGCCCTCCCATCTCTTCTCAGAATCCTACACTTTAAAAACAGTGGCTGTAATGAAAGATTATCTTCCGCAAACAACTAATCTTTTAAAACATAAAACAGTCTTTTAGATTGTAGAACAACAGTCTTTTTAGAATAGTTTAGGTTTCTAGAAAATTGAACAGATAGTACAGAGCCCCCATGTACAGCCTTATCCCAGTTTATAGCTCTCCCTTTACTAACATCTCGCATCCAGTGGGACATTTGTTACAGTTAATGAACTAATATTGACACATTATCAAAGTGCACAGTTTACATTACTGTTCTCTCTCAGTTTTATACAGTTCTTTGAGTTGAGTTTTGACAGAAGCGTAATGCCCTGTATCTGTCGTAATGCCCTGTATCTGCTCTCATGGTATCATTTAGAACAGTTTTACTGCCCTAAACATCCTGAGTTACACCTGTTCGTTCAGGCCAGCTTGGCAGCCACCTCCTCTCTGCTCCTGTAGCTTTGCCTTTCCCCAGAGATCATATAGTTGGAATCCCAGAGTATGTAGCTTTTCCATACTGGCTTTTTTCACTAAGCAATATGCATTTAAGGCTCCTTTGTGCCTTTTTTGGCTGGATAACTCATTTCCTCTTATCCTGAAATAGTAGTATATGGTATGGGTGTACCATTTTATCCATTTACCTTTTGAAGGACATCTTTGTTGCCTCCACTTATTGGCAGTTATGAATGAAGCTGCTGTTTGTGTTCAGGTTTATGTGTGGACATAAATTTTCACCTACTTGGATGTAAAGCTAGGAGTGCCATTGCTAGATCCCATGGTAAGAGTCTGCTTAGCTTTGCAGGAAACTGCCAGACCGTCTTCCGAAATGGATGTACCATTTCGCATTCTTAACAGCAGCGAATGAACATTCCTGTTGATCCACATCCTTGCCACCCTTTGGTATCATCCGGTTTCTGGAGTTGAGCCCTTATGGGAAGGATGTAGTCCTATCTCAGTATTGTTTTACTTTGCTATTCCCTAACGACATATAATGTGGAACATCTTTTTATAAGCTTGTTTGCTATCTGTGTATCTTCCTTGGTGTGGCGCCTGTTCAGATCTTTTGTCCATGTTTTAATCGGGTTTTTTGTTTTCTTAGTGTTGAGCATGATTGTCCTCTGTCTTTTTTACGTTGTATGTCTGTTCATTTAGGGTTCAGCGAATAAGTGATACATAGAAGGCGGCCAGTGGCCTTTTGGATTTTTTAAAGTTTGTGTTATATGAAGAAGTATAGATGAAAGGTACATGAGTGTTTTTGTTTCTGACATAAAGTAATTGCAGAAAAATGATTACTGTTACTATTTTCTGATAAACCTTTTATTAGTCTACACATTGTTATATTTTAAAAGTTATACTCATTTTTTAAAAGTCTTTTGGGTTGCCAGGTGGCTCTCAGTTAAGCCTCCGACTCTTCGGCTCAGTGAGTCATGATCTCAGGGTCATGAGATCCAGCCCCAAGTTGGGCTCCGTACTGGGCATGGAGGCTGCTTAAAGATTCTCTTTCTCCCTCTCTCTCCGTCTCCCTTTGCCATTCCACCCTTGCTTGCTCTCCAAATAAATAAATAAAAATTAAAAAGTTTCATTTTTATCTTCTAAATATTATTACATAAAATTATGAATTATGTTCAAAAGTGATAACCAAACATGGCTTCTTTCTGATTGCTATTAATATGTACGAGGTATCATGAGATATTTTATAAAAAAAGATATGAGATAATAAATATGAAAATGTTTGAATTCTGTGGGGAGTTACAGATACTAATTTAAGTCACATTTGTTATACATCTGCTATGGTTTTCCAGATATTGTGCGAAAGAAGCAAACTAACACTTCAAAGAATTTATAGTCACATAAGCATTTTAATATGTTTTATTCAAACTTATTTATTAAGAATTGCACTTGCTAAATAACATATTCTCATGTTGTACTCTTAACTCTTACCTCCATGTTTATGCAGTAAAATTCCTACATTGGAAAAATAGAATCTAGCCTTTAATTTTGTTGTATATAACCCAAAGGAGTTAAAATTCTGTTTATTCTTTAGCTTAGATGATGGTCTCCTTGAATTGATTTTTCTTAGCGGAAGCTCTAAGAATAGTGAGACATTTTATTACCCTAATAAGGTGTTAACTGGTACCTAGTATACATTAATTTTTATCTGACATTGAAATGGGTACTCTTGATGGTTTTTAGTACCCTTTCTTTTTGTAAGCCGTAGTTCTTTTATGAACGCCCATTTATCATTTTCTTCTTTATACTAGTGTCTGTTATAGAAAAAGTACAAACTATAGGAAGCAAAAAAGGGAAAATAATCATTCAGGGTTAGTCACTTGATATTTTGAAGGTTTTTCTTCTAAAGTTTTTCATGTGAATAGGATATATAATTTACCTTTTCTTTATTATTTAACAAATTTAGCATTGTGCACAGTCCTGCTAGACTTCTTTTTATACATTTTTTTGGTGTCACTTGAAAAATCTGATTTTTAGTGACTATAATATTTTATGACTACTATAATTTACTTAAACATCTGAATATTGTTGGCAGTTTTAAGGTTATTCTTGAGTCAGTTCTATAACTTACTGACAAAGGTGTGGTGAAACAAAGTCACTGTTAATAACCAACTTCAAAGAAATATTAGAAATATTCTGAAAATTTTTAAATGACAGCTTTTTCCAAGCAAGTACACAAAAATATGTATCATTGTTTGGTTTAGTATGGATCTTGCAGCTTTCTCATTGGACCAAGTAAAAGAAAGATGGAATTTAAAAGAGGTATTGATTGTTGCCTTGTGGTTACATGACATTGGTAGAATAG